ACTTCAGGTGAAGGTGAGGGAGAAAAGTCCTCGACTTCAAATGGCCGCTCTGTTGCAAAGGCAGCTACTTGCGTCACTCCAGTCTCGCTCTATTTTAGAGTCTGACAGCAGCTCTCACTAACGGCGGGTCTCAGGTGCACGCCCCCTGGCCCCGCTGGGGTCTGCCCATTTTTTCAGCATTTTTCAAATATTGCTAGTGGGTGGAGTCGGGCTCTGACCAGGGGTTTAGTTACTCTTTAAACTAAATCATACCTTTTTGAAAAAGTAGCTATCTAACAAAGTATTATATGTGATATTTTACAATCAATATGCTCAAGACTAATTAGCCTTCCTCGAAATAAGCAGATTTGGTCTATTCATCAATGCAAATTTACTGCAACTGCTGAAATGCAAATTGAATAGGATGTGGGGAAAAAGATGTATACAATTTTATTACAGTTTTATGAATTCATTAATTGTGTATTTATTATATGAATGATTAATATAATTATGCATTCATATAAATAAGGCTGTTCTATTATTATTTGTGAGTTGGACACTAATACATTGGATTATTTTATTTATTACAGTTTTTCTATCACTTTTGTAAAGTGAAAAGTTAATATAAATTGTATTTTATTGTTTTGATTTAGAGCAGTAAATAACTGCTATTAAAAGATAACAGGGTATCACTGTTTATTGCTGATTTTAAAGCTTACTGAACTTGAAATGATTTGGATATCTATAGTTCTACATAAATACACAACATAAGAATGGCCCCTCTGTAATAATTGTGGCCCCTCTTGTGCCCCCCAGTTGAAAAAATCCTAGAATCGCCCCTGGGGTGTTCAGTCCCTCCAGAAAAACGCGATTATGCGATCGCTGAATTCAATGCAAAATCAGGCAAAGTCCGCATATTTATTTTTTCAAATACGCCGCACTTTCGCCTCATAAATTGCCGATTTCCGTGCAAAATATGCGGGGTTTGCATGATTTCATAATCCTCGCATTTTCGTTGCAAAAAAAGTCATGTATCTTAGCAGAAAGTTGAAAAATGTTGCGTTTGCTTCACACGAGAGCAGCCATTTCCCCTTGTTTCCATGGGAACGTTATGAAGTGACGCAATTACGCGACGCCTGACAGACTCACGGAGGCGATTGACATCTCACAAATCGAACTCGTATAACTGTCTGTCACACGTTCTACCGTCACATCGTTACTTAATAAACAACATAAGATAAAAGAAGTAGCATCAAACAGAAATTAGCCGCACACATGGGGTGTTTGGCGCACATATAACACTGCAGAGAGTTCAACAGGGAGCGCGCAGCTCTTAAAGGGGCCACACCTTATTTACACTCGTTACAGTCTGAAATAAAACAAGATGAGAAATTAAATATTCCCAGCACTTTCTATGATGTAGTATGCTTGCTTATCAAAGGAAGTAATAAGAAATGACTCTTACATTAGCCTAGTGAGAACAGGATGTTGGGGGAATCACTTTATTTCTCTTTTTCATCAAACCGCAATTTTTGCAAGTTCCCTCAATTTTTGCAAATTCCTGCAATTTCATTGCATAAATATCCCGCATATTCCATCGCATTTTTAAAGAAAACGGGCGACATAATCAATCAATTTTTGCCCTCAACAATCACAAAAAAACTCAGCGTTTTTCTGGAAGGACTGAATACTATAATGGTAAATGTTATATATAAATCGCACATTTTTTCACAAATATTTGGAAATTACCACCACAAGATCAGTCATTTTGATCGCAAAAATCACACAAAAAAATCGTGAAATCCTGGAGGGACTGGGTGTTGCATATAATCTCTTAAACGGTTCTCTTAGTTAAGGGAAACATAAGTGTTTGACGACAGCGATCCTGGATTCACGTTATAAAAGTCTGTTGTTGCCATAGATACGCAAAACACTAACACTAGCAATTTCGCGGTTTCATCAAATAAAGTAGGCTAGGATATTCCAAATGGATAAAGAAAACAAAAAAAGAAACCTAAATGGAGATGAGGAGTAGAAATATATTCTTCTTGACGAATATGGAAAAGCAAACTACGGAATGAAAACGTTTAAATGACGGGAAAGAGCCCCCCGCAACCAGGTGAACCCCTCTGCTGCACGTGGAAAACATCTCCCACTATCATCTGAAAACTCCCAATTGCAAAAAACGCAGTGATAAGCAGTTGTAACACCGCAGGTAAAGTGGTTGTGGTGCGTGACATGGTCAAGGTCGCCATCTAGTGAGTTAGCCATGTCAAATATTGCACGAATGCGCGTCGATCAAAACGGTATTCTTGCAACAATTTTTCATCGCTAAAATGGTCCAAAGAGTTCTGCCTATCCATAAAAAAATCCTTCTTGGCACATAATGATCTTCAGCTGGTTCCATAAATTCAGCCATTTCGTCTTATTTTTGTCCGTGTTACTCTTAAAGTCCCCGTGAAATCAAAATTGAACCTATTTACTTTGTTAGCGCATATTACTAGTCTTGTGGTGAACAATTAATCCGTGCAAGTGAATATATATTAAAAAAATGTTTTACCTTAGTAATCTTTAATCAAAATCTGAAAAGTTACTTCCGGTCTGGAACGGTTTCTTTTTCTGATGACGTAGGTTTCACAGTTTGGGTGGGGAAACGCTTAACCACTCCCCTCAAACCGTTAGTTTGCTATGAGCGAGAGATGGAGAGGAGGAGCGCTAGAGTAAAACCCTGCCCTCTGTTCAATATTCCGTTTCACTTGGAAATACGTCACAGCACTGGAGAAAAATCGTTTGCAACTTCCGGTTCGCGGGGACTTTAAGGTTACGATTTCCAAACCTTAAATTGTACTTGGGGAAATGACCGTTAAGGGGTTTTATGCAACACTTAACACTTTTTAAGGGATTACTTAACCCTTATGCTGCATTAGGGACATTTTTGGTCTTTTCCAGTTCAATTTCTTTGACCATTTTGGCTGTTTTAATGCAAATGGTATGAAATTTGGCAAAATTGTGACTTTTTGGATACATGTAAAAAATGTGATCCCATTTTGCAAAATATGTATAACACACACTGTGTAGATCAAATAGTAACACTCGGCACCATAAAGACCAAAAATGGCCCATTGAAACCCATTAAAACGTTGTTTAAATCTGAGGCTGTCAGTAATACATGAAACATGATTTTTGCACAAACATCCTTTCATTTTGAAGCAAAAGCATTATATTTGCATTATATAGTGTATTCCACCAGATGACGTCACTACATATTTATTCCCTATGGGTGGAAATGCACCTTATTTTAGGCAATAGGCAATGTTTAATAGGTGGCCATTTTTGGTCTCTAATGCGCTAAGTGGGATTTTTTGCAAAGTGGGACTGTGATAATCCAAATCTAAAGTTTTCTCTTTGCATTTAGTTTATTGAAAATAATTGAATTTTTGTGTTTTTTCCTCTTATACAAATCGATGGTTTCGCAAACAAAACTGGTAATTAAAGGGTTAAAATCCTGAAATTGAATACATTTTTGGTAGTTATGATGAGGACTGATGCTGGTTAAAAGATTTAACTTGGTAAAAGTGGAAAATAATAATAATATATAATATTTTAGGCAATGTTTAATATGTGGCCATTTTTGGTCCTTAATGCACTCAAAGGTGTTAAAAATCTAATGCAGCACAAGGGTTAAGTGAAAAAACAGCATTTAAGGGAAAATCAAAGTGTTTGTCGTTTCGTTTGTCGTAAAGAAACCTTTAAGTAACAGATAAGGTTTTTTTTTCTGCAACACCCTTAAGGCCAATTTATACTTCTGCGTAGGGTGCGCGCAGTAGGTACGGCGTAGCATACGCACAGACTCGTACCATAACATGCCGTAGCCTGACGCGCACCTCCTCAAAAATGAAACTACACGTTACGACGACGCGGACCGCAAGATCTGTGATTGGTCGGCTTGGTAGCATCGCATTTCCTCCTACGCATTTGCGCACGTACCATCTCCTCCGACGTCTTCTCTCGTTTCTGCCTTTTAGTTTTAGTAATTTCACTAAAATTAACTGTTTTTCCACCTCAATAAGCTCCAACTCCAACATGATCCGCTCTCTTTCAGTCGCCATTGCTTGTAGTAACCTAGCCGCGAGGAATCTAAACACAGTGGAACATTAAAACCCTCCGCCGCCAACTAGCGTTTCGGAGCAGTACTGCAGAGCAACCAAGACCTGAATGCAGAAGTATAAATGCTCATGACCGTACACTACAGCGTACCCTCGACGCAGAAGTATAAATTGGCCTTTAGGTTAAGGGAAACATAAGGGCGACTTAAAGGGTAGCTAAACCCCTGGTCAGAGCCTGACTCCACCCACTGGCAATAATTGAAAATGCAGAAAAAGTGGGCTGACCCCAGCGGAGATAGAGGGGACGAAATAGATGCTAAAACACTCTATCCTGATCGTTTTCAATACTCATAATTCCAACTCCTGACTCGCTACAGTGGTTTTGACGACACAAGATGGTTTTTATACTGCCAGGGGCGTAGCTCGTACCAAAAGCATGGTGAGCTGAAACCTGCGTACGTCACGAAGTGTGGAACATCCAATAGGAAAATTCAACTGCAGTAGCCACCGTTCAACCTGAAGAGGGCAGCACTAAGACGTTTTTACACCATATATTGTAGAAATAGAACACTTTATACCCAAATGTCAAAAAAGTTAATCGAATCAATGACTGGTAATAATAAAGATCCATTCTTACAGATCATTAACTAAAAAAAAGTTGGTTTAGTGTTTAGTTACTCTTTAAGGGAAAATTACACTTAAGGTGCTTTATGCAACCGGGCACTGACCTTTCATATGACTCGCATCAACATTCCCCAATCCACTAAATTCTAGAGTGAAGCATCAAGCTACAACATTACCTAGCGGATCGAGTGTAGAAACACTCAAGTTTTGCGCAAATGTAACAATCCAAAACTTCTATTGTAAGAAGTTTTACTATTCCGGTGTTGATATGCTTCTCTTTTGTATTTTCAGCAGTGTCTCAACATGCAGATGCAGGAGACATTAAATATGGATGGCTTTTTAAAACCCTCCGGAGAAACACAGAACCCAAGCTACAGCCAATATCTGCCCGGGATGGACCATCTCCCGTCCGCCCAGACCGAGGTGTGTCCCCCTGAATACATCAACACCTATGACGGATCCTTCAGCAATATGGTGTCGCCCAACCTCAGCCAGATGAGTCTGAACGTCCCGGATGTGGGAGCCGAGTTCGGGCCTGAAGAGTTTAATGAGCTGTTTTATCCTGAGATGGAGGCAAAAGTGAACCCTCTCACGTGCGACGGAGGACATATGGTCCACCAACTGGCCGAGATTTCCAACGATCCTCCTGTAAATCCAATGGATCTGCAAAGCTTTTCACCGGGGAACTTCAGCTCAGAAAAACCAGAACCAATGGTGGAATTCGCAGATTCGGATTCTGGCTTGTCGTTGGACTCCAGTCCTCACACGAGCTCCCCGGGGAAGTCCTTAAACGGAGATGAATCCTTCGGTTTCAGTGATTCCGACTCTGAAGAGATGGACGGGAGTCCGGGAAGCATGGAGTCCGATTATACCGAGATATTCCCGCTGGTTTACCTTACTGACGAAGCTCAGGCGTCTCTCTCGGAGAAATCCGCCGCGGAGCAACGGGAGATAAAGGCAAAGAACCCAAAGACGGAGCCGGTGGAGGCCAGTGGCTTTTCCAAACCTCCCTTCACCAAAGACAAGCAGAAGAAACGCTCCGAGGCCCGGCTCTCCCGTGACGAGCAGAGAGCGAAAGCCTTGCAGATCCCCTTGACCGTGGACATGATCATCAATCTGCCCGTGGACGACTTCAACGAGATGATGTCCAAGCACCAGCTCAACGAGGCCCAGCTCGCCCTCATCCGAGACATCCGGCGCCGGGGCAAGAACAAGGTCGCCGCGCAAAACTGCCGCAAGCGGAAGATGGATAACATCGTGGGTCTGGAGTCCGAGCTGGACTCGCTGAAGGAGGAGAAGGAGCGATTGAAGAAGGAGAAGAGCGAGCGTAGCACCAGTCTGAGAGAGATGAAGCAGCAGTTGAGTACCCTGTACCAAGAGGTCTTCGGGATGCTTCGAGACGAGCAGGGCAAGCCTTTCTCGCCCAACGAATACTCCCTTCAGCACACCGCGGACGGCACCGTTTTCCTCGTTCCTCGCCTTAAAAAGACTCTCGTTAAGAACAACTAGCCCTGTTTTTCCTCTTCTCTCTCCTTCCACACTTGCTTCTGTTTTTTGGTACTGCTTTTCTCTTGCCAACACTGTGTCCTGACCAGGCATGACGCAATAAAGCGGAAAAGGCCCTTCCATGTTAGTGTGTTTGGCTAACCAGCCTCAGGACAGTCTGTCAATCAATTGGCTTCAATTGGTGGGTAGCTCCGCCCACAGTGGAATCTGATTGGTCCAAAAACATTAAACGTCAACTGTGCTCGGATTTTTGGTTCAGTTTAAGTGTCGAACACCTCCAGAGACTTGTCACGCAACTGGTTAGGACACGGTGTAAGCTTTACGCAAAGGAAACAACTAAATAGGAGCGTATTTTGCTTATACATCAACCGTTGAAATGGCAGAACTATTATATACGTTTTGCGTATTCTACTTTCCTAATATTCTTAATCTCTGTTGGATTTTATACTTCTTTATATTTTCTCTGAGATTCTTTTACCGATATGGTTTGTAAATACATTTATACTTTATTTGCTATTGAGATAGGAACAAATGTATTGTACATAAATAGATCTCGTTTTAGTATGCTAAAAATGGTTATGATAATTTGAAGTCAGTTTTTATATCCTAATTTACTATTCTATTGCTATTTTATCTCTTGACTTTATGGCTTTATATTAAATAAATATTTAAACCAGTGAAGTCTAATGTGGTCTTGAATGGAAGTTGGTTTGATGACGGTCAAGGAAGTGGATATTAACAGTAATGAATAAGGAAGTAGAGTCAACATCGATTAAGTCATCACGTACAAGTGTTTCAAAAGAGGTGATGTATTTTAGACAACAATGGCACAGTATGTCAACTACAAAAGTAATACTGTTCAAAATGAAGACAGAAAACACTTTGGATCATGATGATGTAAAGGTGAAGAGTGAAAAATGGCTTTTGTTTGCAGATACTGGTATTATCAGATGCAGTGACATTAGCTTTATATTATCCGCCATTAAATCATAATCCACCAGAAGGTTTAGAGCTCAAATTGTTCGTTTTCTTGGAAACTCTTCATTTTGGCTCACTACCAACACTGTAAAACCCTACACGCTCTCAACATCTCCCACAATACTTGAGATTTAACAAATCCAGAAGCCTTTGAAGGGAGAAAAGGCCATATTTGTCCATTTCCCCCAACCAAACAGCCTCCCAGTTGTTATGCAACAGATCTGGACTGTTTGGCAGCGTCCCATGATAGACCACGCTGGACGAAGAGCACTAGTAAAGAGCAGTTGTTTGCACTTTCTCACACACACACACACCACCTTTGAACACACCAAGCCCTCTCTTTCACACAACAGCGATTCTCCATTTTCAACAAGTCACGCCACACAAACAGGGTCAACCCGTTCAAAGACCCGTTTTTACGTCACGATGTCGGATCTTTTCACTATCTAGAGCTTAATGCATGATAAAAAGGCAATAAATCATAAATTCAATGCCTTTGTCCTTATGACCGCATTAAACGAGCACGTGTTCTCTCATAAACAAGAGCCCAATATGATCGAGTTTTAAAATCTGGTTGCATATTAATTGTTCAGTTCAAAGCCATCAGAGTGACTTATCTAAGGCAACTGCATCTTAAACATTTACCCATGGTCATGACCTTAATTCAGGGTCAGGGGAACAAAGTCCCCATGTCAGGTTTTGCAGACAGATAAGCATTGTGTGGGAAGAAAAAGCGCTGCGCTCACACACAAACAACAGAAAATTAAACATTCTCAGGGCGTTTCAAATGGTTTTATTAAACAGTCAACATTTGGCAATGCAATCATATATTCATTACGACATCATGAGTGATGTTTTATAACTAGAAAACTTCTTAGGAAAATATTGTGTGAATAAATAAATATGGATTTACCCTAAATTACAAAACATCCCCACACATAAAAAAATACTACAGTATAGTGTCATGTTAGAAGCATCCAGTGGCAGTGCATATTAATAGTAACTGGTAAAATACTAGAGTTCATGGAAGTTCCAGTCTAGGAAATGAATGTTCAGCAAAACGCAAAACGTCCTCGCTTGCACATCAGTGAATGAATCTCATTAAAACAAGTCGGGTCACATTTCACCTCAAACTCAAACGACACTTCTTAAGATGATTAATTCGATTTACACTACAGCGGTCACATTTACCCTGGTATGGTGAATTTCTGCAGTCATGAATCGCCACATTACTGACATTTGCAGACATTTTGTGGGCAAAAAGTGTCCTGAGTCTATTATTAATAGTGTATGTCACTTTCGAACTGGCCATCAGAGTGAATCCACGTGCGTCATCAAATACTCCCGTTGCTGTGGATTGCTACTGACAGTGACATTACTGGATTTCGCCCACGAAAACTCACTGAACAGTGGTAAATGTGGCCGCACCTTAATGTTTAGTACTCTTGTACTACTAAATAGTACAAAACAAATCAGCTTAAGATAATGGCAACACAACAAGAAATGTAAATAGATATTTGCCATTTTATTTCACACTACAGTATTCAGAATTTTGGCAATGAGAACTGTCACATTGCATTGACTTGGTTTCATTTTCTTTATTCAAAATATAATACCAACAAAAGGTGAAATAAGACCCTACGTTTGTGAGATTCATCCACACACACTGGCCTATACTTGAGCCGAATGTAGTTTCTGAATCTCTCGGTGTGACTACGGGAGGATCTCTTTATTAATGGAGTGGTTCACTTTTGAAAGATTTGGCTGATAATTTACTCACCCCCATGTCATCCAAGATGTCCATGTCTTTCTTTCTTCAGTCGAAAAGAAATTAAGGTTTTTGATGAAAACATTCCAGGATTTTTCTCCATATAATGGACTTCAATGGGAACCAAAAGGTCCAAAAGACACTTTCAGTGCAAAATACAAACTGTTCAAAGGGCTTTAAACGATTCCAGACGATGAATAAGGGTCTTATCAAGCGAAACGATCAGTCATTTAAAAAAAAAAAAAAAGTTTTATAAGCTCAAATACTCGCCTTGCTCTGTTCTGTGATGCGCGTTTGTGACTCTCCTGTTCGAACTCGTCCATTAAAATGAACTAATCATTTTCCGTGTCATTTGTTTGATTCAATCGAATTGACTCGGAAAAAGATTCGTTCATTTTGATGTGAGTCACACAGAACAGAGCAAGGCAACCATTTGAGCTTTTAAAACTTAAACTTTTTTATTTATTTTTTAAATGAGCGATCGTTTCGCTTGATAAGACCCTTATTCATCGTCTGGAATCGTTTAAAGCCCTTTAACAGTTTGCACTGAAACTGTCTTTTGGACCTTGAACCGTTTGGACCCCATTGAAGTCCATTATATGGAAAAAAATCCTGGAATGTTTTCATCAAAAACCTTAATTTCTTTCCGACTGAAGAAAGAAAGACGTGGACATCTTGGATGACATTGGGGCGAGTAAATTATCAGCAAAAGTTTTTTTAAAAGTGAACTACTCCTTTAAGTCACCGTATATCTTGTGCGTATTAATCTTACCCATCCAGAACCGTCGCTGAAAAGACTTTCAGCCACTTACAGTAGACCGGGCGCTGCTTTTCCCATCTGTAAATTAAGCAGAAGAGTTACTCTTACCTTCCTCGTCTTCTGTCTGCCTCAAACCCTCATCCTCACGCTAGCATTGGCTCTCCGCTAGCATTGGCTCTCCGCTAGCCCTCCTCCTGTCCAAAACAGACGCTAGACACACTGGTCCAGTGGCGGCTGTCCTGTGGTCAGTTCGTCTGTCTCGGCCTGAAGGCCTTTCTACTCTCATACACAACAACAACAGCACGCGCTCAGGACAGCTGCACTCGCTTTCAGACTCAATGACGCACTAAACTTCATTATTACTAGAGCACAACTTTATTTCAACTGGGTTCGTTTTTCAATCGTCAAAAAAGTGAAACAATCTAGACTTGGATCTTTACAGGTTTGACATGTTACTTGTCCTCAGATCTGATAAAGTCTACTCTGTTTTTCATTCAGAGATAAACAACACATGTACTGTATGCTCACAATATATAAAAATACACGTTACACTGTCTTCAAATCAAAAAATTAAAAACCCTCCAAATAATAATCAAGGCCACAACATATTGCATACTCACACAACATATCATTTTGAACTACTCTGACTACAGTGTTTGATAACATAATGTTTGTTTCACTCTCAAAAAAAAAAAAAAACATTCACAAAGGACTGAGGGTGAGAGAAAAGTCCAAAGAAAATCCGAGCGGGTGAAATGCAGCAGTAAGGAATGTACAGTACATACACTAACTAACACACGCTACTCTCGCGCGGCCAACGTTAAACACACACCGCTGCGGTAAGAGCTATAACTGGCAGATCTCGGCCCTCAGTAATCTTTCCTCATCACCATCTAACTCTGGATCTGAAGCCTGTTGAACACACACACGGTAAAACATCACAAGTCGTCATCATCCCGCGTTACACTTCTGTGGAGTCTGCGGCTGCGTCCCGATGCGCCTACGCTCACACTGTATAGTAGGCGAACCGAGTCTGTAGGGCCCCGCGGATTCAGCCGATGGGATAAAACACACAATTTACTGTGCAGAACGTCACAGAATTCGTCACATTTTTGAGGAATTAAAACAGAACAAAAATAGGGCTGTGCAAAAGTTAATTGCGATTAATCGCATCCAAAATAAAAGTCTGTGTTTACATAGTATATTTGTGTGTGCTGTATATAAATACACACACATGCATGTATATGTTTAAGAAAATGTGTTATTCCTATATAAAATATTTATATTTATATAATATAGATTATGTATTTATATATATATATATATATATATATACAGAATTTAAGCGCAAATAATTCTTAAATATATACATGCATGCATAGGTATTTATATATACAAAATAATTATATACAGCACACACACAAATATATTATGTAAAACAGACTTTTATTTTGGATGCGATTAATCGCAATTAACTTTTGCACAGCCCTAAAAAAAAGATACTAATATTGTGTTGTTTGGTTATTAAAATGTATTTAAACCATTAAAATCCAGAAATCTTAAAACAGAAAAGCAGAATTTGATAAAAAAATAAAACAGAATTAAAACAGGTGACACTTTACAATAAGGTTCATTAGTTAACATGAGTAAATGCATTAACTAACATGAACTAACGATGAGCAATGCATTAGTTACAGTGTTTATTACTCTTTGTTAATGTTAGTTAATACAAATACAGCTGTTCATTGTGCGTTCATGTTAGTTCACAGTCCATTAACTAATGTTAACTAATACAACCTTTGATTTTAATAACGTATTAGTAAATGTTGGAATTAATATTAACTAAGATTAATAAATGCTGAATAAGTATTGTTCACATGTTAACTAATGTAGTTAACTAATGTTAACTAATGAACCTTATTGTAAAGTGTTACCAACATTTCGTAGTAAAAATTGTTGTTAAATGGTATAAGTTTCATGATTTAAATTAATTAAATAAACATTTTTATTTAACCATTAAAATGGAGTCCAGAAAAGTTTAAATGAAAAAAAAAAAAAAAAACGCAATCCAGAAAAATATCAAATGGAATTTGTGAAAAAAATAAAAACAGTAGGATTACCTGAATGATCAAATGAACATCTGGGCCCGGTTTTTTAACGGATTGGATCAA